GTTAATCACAAAAATGTGTGTACAGACACAGTAACATTATGTCAAATGCATTTGCTCCTGCAGAAGGTGACGTGATTTGCAAATGACGTCATAATAGCCTTACTGACGCCTGGCCGTAGAAGTAGAATTTTAATTCGCATTAGTTTACTTCGCATTAGTTATCGTGTGAACGCAATTTAATTCGCATTAATTTGATTCGCATTAGTTTACTTCGCATTAATTTACTGCGAATTAAACTCTCCGTGTGAACAGGGCATAAAACTTTTATAACGAATTGAATTTTCGTTTAAACGATTGCTTTATTTTTTTTAACCAATTAAATCAAAACGACAATTCGTTATATCGAATTCATATGATATACAAGTATATTTTTCATATTAAAGGTCTTTTGCCATCTCTGTCCCATTTCCAAGAGTTGAGGGGACATGTATCGTTGCAACTCCAATCTGTCACAGAATTGCAGATTTTATACCATTTTATAGGCATAAACCAAATGCTCTTAATTCTAATTTATCAACTTATTTCAAATAAGCGCTTTATAACCAAAATTATTCTTAAAACAAGATTTTTATACAGAGAAATAGCATGTATATATGTGGGTGTGTTCTGTAGACCCCCCCCCTTCAAAAAATATTCGCCATAATGTCAGAAGCTAGTTTTCAGAGACCTACAGGACCGGTGAAAATGCGTCGCCTGACCTTTGGTAGCCTGGCTTCTTGCTCATCATACGCTGATCTCGCCAGTTTGAAATGCCCAGCGAGAAATTCGCTTCCTTAGAAATATATATGGCAGAAAGATGAAAAGCTGTTAACATACAGATTTCTTTTTTTTCTTTAATCGACATGTTCTTTAATTGTTTGCATTTCTTGAACAAATCTGAAATAGTCATTCATTTAATATTTTATATAAAAGATCATGAGGTCCATGATTTTTAGAAAAAATAAATTTCGAATTCTTCATTTTTTTCGCCAATATACAATGTAAGAGTTGGTAGATTGTAATTATTTATTTTTTTATCGGTTACACTGTAAAAACATTGTTTAGAATCTAAACACAAATCTAAACACATTTTTTGTATCACTTTTTTTTAACACGTTTAGCTGTAAACGTGTCTCATTTCTAAACACGTTAGACTTCATGTGTTTAGTTGCTAAACATGTTTAACCCCTAAACACTTATATCTAAACACATTTTTGTTTCACTTTTTTTTTACACGTTTAGCCCTAAACACGTTTCTTTTCTAAACACATCAATTTTTAAGTGTTAAGTTGCTAAACATGTTTAGTTCCACAATATTAGATCCAAGAATAGTTTAAATTATAAACTATCGCAGGAAAACATATATTTGGAAGAAAAACATTATTAAATAAGTTTCCTAGAAATACCATAACATTATTGAACATTCAAACATAGATTTATTTTGAAGAATTTTAAATTCAATATACATATAGATTAAAAATTATAAATATTTTTTTTTGTGTCAATATTAATCAGCTCAGCAAGCATGCACTTATTCCTCATGTCCGTAACAAAAATTAATCAATCTTATTAATTTCCTGCAAGTCTTTCACTAGAAACAACACGATCACATGTTTTCGTCCATAACTGCCAGAAAGGAATCCATTCCCATCATACAAATGTTTTGGGGCTGTTTAAAAATATACCGAACAGTATACTTCACGAAATTTAGTTTCCTCTTAAATGCAAAAAGTGCTGAAGATGTACCCACAATTGCGTTGACTTGAAATGACACCATCTACTCTGAGACGTGTAGTTTTGCTTCGATCTGGACCATATCCTGTAAGAAAGAAATGAAATTATACTAAAAATTATAATGCCTCTTGCTGACTGATAGCTAACTGGCTAATATTATGCAACTTTTATTGAAATCCATTTAACAATTATGTATATATAATACTGATACGGATATAGATATTTTCAATGACATTCTATATAATATAAACTCCTTTCTAGCTTTCAGGAATGCAAAAGTAAAAGAAGGAAATCTTGATCTACAATTGTGTACTTGCAACGTTTCTCATTGTAGTCAATTTATGTAAAATAATAAAAGTAAACAGACCTTTTATTGTAGTAATGTTGCCTTTCAAATGCATTTCACAATCCCTTCCTTGTTATCACTTTGTTATGATTCGCTTCGTTTAATCCATCATCTTTAGCTTACTCTGGAATTTTCTTTGTTTCGATAACCGCTCTATTAACGTTCAAATATATTACGCGTCATTTCCGAGAAGATAACTCTGTTTGTCAAAGAAAGTGTTCAATTTCTAAACACTTTTAATCTAAACACGTCTTATATCTAAACACGTTTACATATAAGACATGCTTAAACATAAGTGTTTAGCCGTTTAACACAATCTTAAACATGTTTAGGTCTAAACACGTAATGGAAGTGTTTATTTTCTAAGCGCAGTTTTTACAGTGTAGTCATATTAAATCGGTGCAATTGGGCGTACAAAAAATTGCGGAAAACCAGATAGGATAGATAGACAGAGGGACAGACAGACAGACGCAAAGGAAACCTAAAGCCCCCGTCCGGTTAACGGTTTCACCGATAGGGGACAAAAAAAATAAACAAATAATAAAGTCCATGCAATTGGAAAATTAAAGTAAGTACCTTTCGCTGCTCCTTGATTATTGACAGGAGCTGCCTAGCGTTTGGAACACCAGACAGCTCCTTGTCATTCTCTTTTCCTCCTCTGAGCCCTTTCTCAGAACTTTCGTCTTTTTCAGCCTAGTATTAGAAAGTACAAAAAAGGATGAGTACTAAGATTGGAAAGAATAAAAGCTTCCTTAAAGCAATACGAGCTGCATTTTTGAGAATTTTATTGCGCTCTTAAATTGTGCTATTTGGTAAATTTGTATGTAATTTTATTTAAATTCTTTATGTCATGTCATGTGTCGTTACTTATTATTGAATAAATTCATATAGTTGTGTACTCACTATATGAATTTATTCAATAATTAGTAAACGACAATTGTGACCAAAAAATCCGATTGATCACCAAAGTAGCACTTGAAACATCGATTAATTTCACTTTTAATGGAAAAAATAACCCCAATAAGGTTACTAAAGATCTTAAAAACATAGTGTGCGTAACATAGTTTGTTGGAATATAAATGAAAGACTCTGAATTAATCGTTAAAATTCTTCAGAGGGACATTAAACAACAAACAAAACTCACCATTATTGCTGCACGACTGTTTCGTCAATAAACGAAAGTAATTGTGACGTCATAGTAAGAACGTCATAAAAGCCAATCCGCAGATCCGGTTCAGACTTATAGTCTCGATCATCCAGACGCTTAATTGTCTTTATTACACGGTATTTTCATCCCCGTTTTATTTTCGCCCCTTTTGTCCTACTCATATAGGTAGGCGAATTTAAAAAATCCCTATTTTTGCAGAAGTGGGTACATATAAGCATAGCTGCAGAACTGTAGCTCTCCGAAAAAAAATATATATTGACAGACCGAGCTACAGTGCCACCATTATATAAAAACTATAATATTTATTGCGCATAAAAAGTTACGCTTGGTTCTGTCTTGGTCTATCGATGTATTTTTTTTCGGAGAGCTACAGATCTGCAGCTCATGTAAGAACAGGCGCTTGACATTTTTAATCATTCTTTTCATAAATAAAAAATGCATCATAATGTAAAAATAACAGTATAGGGATTTTTTTTATTTGTGAACAGAAAGGTGAAAACGCGAAGTTCATGTAAGCATTCACTTAGCATCAATGATTTTATTGGGGGTGGGGGTGGGGTTACATTACCAAATTATTGTGATTTAACTACCACACCCAATTCATGCATATAGCATATTTGTTTAGAAAATAAATGACAGTAATGTTGTTTCATTGCAAAGTACATACTGGGGATATATTTTATTTGTTCATCGTTACAGTTTCAGACTATTTCATGAATCATGCCATTGTTATTTATTGTTTACTGGTATACTCCCTCAAACTCAGACTTGGGCGACGTTGAGGGAGCTTGAGGACTCAAAACCGATGTTGGCCCTATTTTAATACCTGACGAGGTAATGTTCTCTTGTTTTTCTTATGCTTCAAGATTCTATTGTCAATCAAAAGAAGAATGTACTTACAGGTGTTTCATTGATGTTATCAGTTAATCCATACAATATTTATTACGACATGACAACTAATGTTACAGTAAGTGCAGTATGACATCATCAAATAGTTCATTTGGCACAATAATTCAAATTTGTGTAAAAAATGTAAACCAAGTGTAAGTAGTGACTAGTTAATTTAATAACTTGGAGTATTGTACAATACCTGTATAATATAATCCTCTTTTTATGGCTGTTGTCATTTAGCATATTTTTTTGTTTTTCTCAAGAATATCATGCCTAGTCTCTCTGGCAATGTGTAACCAGGTCACGTGATCCTCACATCCAGGTTAACTTGATGACGCGACCTCTAAATATAGAATGTAGTCTCTTCATTTTATTGTACCTCCCCTCGCTTCCCATCACTTCCGTTACGTTCCAAAAATTAATTCCCGATGTTTCATTTAAAAATGTTACGAATACTCAAATTTATTTCAAATACTGCACATGCACCTGACGAATGGATGATGTAACCCCCATCCTCCGGCTTCTGAGAATTTTTATTAGATACAAAAACTTATCAAAAATACATTATTTCCACAGGCGCTTGACGTTTCAGTTTAATCTTTCTTTTTATAAATAAAAAAATCCCTATACTATAATTATTATATAGTATATATGGAATTTTTTTATTTATGAAAAGAAAGTTAATCATAGTATAGGAATTTTTTTTATTTATAAAAAGAAATGTTTAAAACGTCAAGCGCTGTGATTATTTACTAGTCTATCATTTTAATAACATCACAAGTTTCGATCAAATATCCGGACTTATCACCGATACGTAGTTAGATTTTATACCATCAGCGTAGTTTGTACGCTTTCGTACTCTAACTGTATAATGTTATTCGATAAAGCTTTTTGTGATCCTGATTATTATGATGATGTCGATAGTAAATAGTGGTGTGACACAGACGTAATAATACATTTTCTTTCAATTTTGTGTCATTTTCAGTACATTTCACAATGGCTGATAACGAAGCAAAGGGACGAGAATTAATGCAAGAGGCAGAGAAGAAGCTTTCTTCCTCCAAAGGATTCTTTAGTTCACTATTTGGGTAAATATTGTTTATTTTGATCAAAAGTGGACTTCGTCCAAAGTTGACAGACGAAAATACGTTAGTAGAATACTTATTTACTAAATTTTTACTTTTGCAGGAGCTCCTCAAAAGTGGAAGATGCTGCAGACCTATTTGTTAGAGCTGCCAACATGTTTAAAATGGCCAAAAAGTGGGCAGGTATGTGTATTTGCAAAAAAGAGAGAAATTTCAGTCCATGCGAAAGTTTTTTGGACCACAGTCCTATGTAATCAATGAACACACAGGACCAATCAAATTTTGTCAGACGGAAAACAGCTTTTCTTTTTACCAGGGATCGCTCCTTAATACTTAAGACAGACCATCATGATCACAGACTCCATGCGGTTTTAATCACATTCATTTATGTATTTGTGATATTTTTTACTAAAAACAAACATTAAAATGACTCAACGTCAAAATAGTATTTAAAGTTCAAAACCGGACACTGAGACATCGAACATTCAGGTCTGGTGTAAAAAATGATCAAAACATTGGACCAGAGGAGACTGATGCACAATGGTCAGGTCTGATGGTCCGATGTCTTTCGCATAGACTGATATTTTGGGATGTAAGTTTGTAAATATACAAGTACAGCTGTAGCGTATAATTTAGGATAGATACCATATCAAATTTATATCTTTCAGTTTGGCTGATTTAAGTCCTTATTTCAAAGTCTGTTTTAAAGATACATGTAATTATATAGAATGTCAGATGGAAAGTAATATACAGTAAAACACAGTTACAACGAAGTGCCAGGGACATATGATTTTGATTCATTATAAGTCTAATTTAACTGTTAAGTTTACAATATATTATGAATGAAAATCACTTTCCTGTAAGTGTAATTTCATTGTAACTGTGAAAGTCGGTTGGCTATACATGTACTTGTGTTTTACTGTATTGCAGCTAAGCTAATAAAATGATTAGAAATGTTTTCTACATAAACTTGCATATCAGTTTAGATCAGAGTTATCTTAATGTTCAGATTATATTTTGTTTTTATGGCTTGTCAGCGGGTATCTTATATTTACAGCTGCTGGGGAGGCATTCTGTCGAGCGGCCGAGTTACAGGTTCAGTTAGGCGGCAAACACCAGGCAGCCACTGAATACGTCAACGCTGGAACCTGTTATAAAAAAGCAGATCCCAATGGTAAGGTTAAAGCCAACTTGAATTGTGTAGAGGCTAAATTTTTTTTATTAAATTGTTATAATGTGATGTGTTCTTTCCTTTTCAGAGGCAATCAACTGTTTATTAAAAGCTGTAGAAATTTACACTGATATGGTATGTGCCTATTAATACAGTAAAATATGTTTAAAAATAAATGTCAGGGACTGAGGATTTTGCTTCATTATAGGCTTAATTCTTTCACACAACATATTTTAAATTCATGCGGAATGAAAATTCCTTAGCTACAAGTGTCAGTTCAGTAAAAGTGTGTTTGCTATAAGCATGTTTTACTGTATATTTTGACCTAGGATATTCCTTTCAAAGATGAGACTCAAAGCAAAAATTTCACCTTTATAAAAAGAAAATGTTTAGAAAGGGGGAAATGGTGCTGAACATATAATATATACTCATCTTAAATGGGAGAAATATACATGTATTTATTAATGTTTTATACTTGGTATAAAGTTAAGCTTGAATTTTAAACAGGGTAGATTTACCATAGCAGCTAAACATCATGTTTCCATTGCTGAAATCTATGAAACAGATATGGTGGATATTGAAAAGGTCAGTTACATTTAAAGCAACATTTTAATTATTACAAGTGTTGGTTTGTTATACATATGATAAGGGATAAGTAGGTACTCCCAGTAATATCCATAATATTTGGTAAAAGCAGACTTATTTCCTTTCAGGCAATCACAAGCTATGAACACGCTGCAGATTACTATAAAGGGGAAGAATCTAACAGGTATGTCTCTGCTTGTCCCTTCTTGTGTTAGAATTCTCTATCCAGACCCTTACTGCCAGTTGAATTGGAAGGTGTCAGAGTATTCATTTAATTTGTCCAATTTTCTTTTGACAGTTCTGCAAACAAATGTCTAATTAAAGTTGCCCAGTATGCAGCACAGCTTGAACAGTATGAGAAGGCAATATCTATCTATGAAGAAGTAAGTTACTGTAGATCACTGAATTTTCATGTTACCTTATTTTCATGTTATTAAAGTTGTTTTTATAAGGGAGACAGAATTTTAAAGAAGTATGGTTTTGTTGTATTTAACTTCTACAAATATTATAACTAATACAAAATTTAACATGTCAGAATGAAATTTTTGAGAGCAGACAGTCTCAGGTAGTTACACGAAAATAAATTTCTTGTGAATATTAAGTGATTTTAATACAGTACATCTGTGTGTTCGTGGTCTGGCATTAAAACAGTGCATGCCATGTTTCTTCCTCATTGAAATTTTGCAAATCTGATTGGTAGATTGGTGTGTCCTGCATGGATAACCAGCTTCTGAAGTACAGTGCCAAGGACCACTTTTTTAAGGCAGCTCTTTGTCAGTTGTGTGTGGATACACTGAATGCTGAGCAAGCCATTCAGAAATATGAAGAAATGTTTCCACAGTTTGGGGATGCCAGAGAATGCAAGCTTCTCAAGGTAGGATGTTCAAAATAAATCCAGTATTTATGTTTTTTTTTGTTTTTTTGTTTTTGTTTTTTTTTTGAGGGTGGGGGGGGGGTTTACAAGGAAATGTAAGCACCTTGAGGAATTTTTTTTTCTGTGTCTATATATGGAAATGCCAGAGAATGCAAGCTTCCCAAGGCATCATGTTTCAATATTTTAAGTGATTTATCAGTGGGAATTTTATATGATGCAAGCTTCTCAGGGAAGAGTGTTGTACAAAGTGTCAGTTCAATGATTGCACACTAAATGTGCAGAGTAAATAAGGAAATGATAATTCATTAATTACTTCCTTTACATATTTCTTTTTTTTTCATTTTAAATATACATGGAACAGGGAAATAAACATAACTTGTTTGTCTTTGATGATTTTTTTTTATAGACTTTGATCAGTGCAATAAATGAAGAGGATATTGATAAATTTACCGACTCAGTCAAGGATTATGATAGTATATCCCGTCTGGACCAGTGGACAACAACCATGCTGCTTAGAGTGAAGAAGAATATCAGCGGGGAGGATCTTAGATGATTTTCCCTCAATGTTCCCCCCTCTCCCCCACACACAGGATTACTCTCAGACATTCTCTTTTACGGATTTGATATCCCTTAAAGGATTTTTCTTACTTTCATAAGCTTCATGTCAAAAGCAATGTTGTGAAGATTTTCTGTGGAAATTTGAGCAAAATATTCAATTTGTTAGTTTATGACAATATATGCAACATTCTCAATACCTCTGGTACATTGTTCCGCTGTTAACGTGTTGTTGGATCAACGTGAATGTGATATGGCATTGTCATGATATTCAAGACTTAAAAGTAGAAATGTGAAAAACATTTGAACTGTTATATTATATGTTGTTGTTTTTTCAAACCTCAAATTGTCAAATGATAGATAGTTTAGTTATTGTTTTCTAGTTTTAATGGTAGTTGTACATGTAGATTTGCTTTTGATGCTTAATAATTTTCTGTGGACACAAAAGATAGCTGTGTGCATTCACTGCACACAAATCTTAATTACTATGAACTTCATATGGCATTTACTGTATAAGGCAAAAGCATTACCTGGAAAAGAGGAGAAAAAACTGTGCTGTTACAAGAACATGGCAAAATTTTGTTTCTGGAATCCAATATTCTCTTTAAATTTGATATTGATTATTAATATTAAATGCTGTATGTTTTTAATTGATGATCCGAAAAAGTTTTCTGTCATTAAAATAATGATCAGTGCTTTATATATTTTATACACGTATCATTATCAGATGTAACTTGTTATTATACATTACAAAATGTACAGAGTATGTGTCAGTCAACTTGTGAATATTAAAGCTTTTACAATTGAAAATAAAGTTAAAAAGCACCAAGTTTTAAACTCTGCTTCAAACTATAAATTTTGGAGAGGACTTATACATGTATAAGCATTGCCTACTGTCCAATCCATTAATGATTGTTCAAAATAAAATATTTTTTTAATTAAGCGTATTAAGACATAACTTAAAATTGTAAAATAATGAAAAGTTTTGAAAAATAATGATTTATTTTGGGAATCATGAACCACTCAGAACATTTGGGCCACTGTAAGGATAATCCTGAATGACCACTGTGATCCTTATTTCAGTGAGTGAATTCTAATGCTTACTAATTTGATGAAATTGCATCTTCATTGTTCTGGATAGAAAAAATTCTATCGAGTACAGTTTAACTTCAGTATCTCAAATACCATGGATATGTCGAAGTGATGTGGGAGTCCCAACCACATATTCTCTATTTTTCCATCAATACCTTAAATCCTTGGATATCTTGAAGTTTTTTCTCAGCCCCATAAGGTTCGAGATAATGAAGTTTGACCATATAATAATGGACTTTGGCCCTCCAATTGCAGCACTTAGTTATTCATAATGGACAAAGTATGGACAATGCAAGGAATTGTAAAAATAACAAAACCAAACTACCCAGTATACTTTAATGCAACATAAAATCATTGTCTTATAAATATATCCTGTTTACAACAACATATCTTTCATTTCTCTTTTAAGAAATGGTAATCTATCACATATCTTTAACATATTCATTACTTTTCATACTTACATTGTATCATAAAAGCTAGAATGGCCATTCCCCGTTTTTCAGATCTTGTTCCAACATTTCATCATCATAACTCATGTTTTGTGAAAATCAATAAAAGTTCAGCTGCATTTGTGTTAAAATGTATGCTACTGGATCACTTCTAAATACTGGACACATTCAATCATAATTATGAAATTATGTAGATTTTACAGTCTTCAAGATGAAAAAAACCCACACGTATGTTCAGGTATGTCAATTATTTTCAATGCAAGTTTTAATGAACACCTACAAAAATGACAGAAATATAACTGTAAATGAAATCCCTCTTTTTTTTCAGAATATCACAATTACAGTCACCAAGAAATGAATCAGTCTTGAAAAGATACACATGTATAATACAAAAAGCATAATCAATGCCAAAAATTTAATACAGGTATTTTACAATTTAATTGAAAGATGAAAAGTATTTTTGCTTGGAAAGAAGGAAATTTTAAATGCACGTTTGATACATGTATATCATACATGTATATCATCTGCTAAAAGGCATCTTAAAATGATTCAGTATCAGTTTGTAATTAAGCCTATTATGCAGAGGAAAAACTTTTACGATGGAATCTATTCCCCCAAAACTTTTACGATGGAATCTATTCCCCCAAAACTTTTACGATGGAATCTATTCCCCCACTCAACCACTAAAGGAAAATGAATTGAAAACAGTTTACTCAATATACAGGTAAATGTACTACCTTTGCAAATCAAATACTGCACTTAATATTTTTTTGTGCTTTGAAAGCACATAAACAGAGTCTGCACTTAAATATAAAAAAGCCCCTTTATATATGTTTTTTGCACTGTCAGCCCTTATTTGAATCTACAGATATGGATTATCACAGCCGTTATAATGACCTTGACCCCTTGTGATTATTGCCCTGGGCCAGGTGGTTCCGGCTGGACGGGGCTTCCTGGACCGTGACTGTGCATCTCTGGTTGATATGTCAAAAGTACAATCATCACCCAAATGTGAAGCAACACCTGAAATCATAAAACGAAATACATGTAAATTGTTTTATCAAAGAACAAATTGATGAAATATATCAACAATGAAACTTTACACTTCCATGTATGTTTGTTCAATCACAAGAAAACATTTCTTGTTTTAAAAGTGGAGCAACTCAACAATGAAAAGGCAAGCATCCTTTAACCCATTAATGCACCTCTTATCATGTTGTGGAAGCAATATATGAAGTGAATTTTGACATTTCTTTCTTAATTTGCTAAGGGTGGTAATTTACCAGAGGAATACAAACTTTTCACTTAGTCTTAAACTATCGGGTACCTTTTTACAAAAGTTTTGGACAAGGTAAAGTTTGACAATTCAGACTCAAATTTATGATAGGCTTAGTCAATGATCAAGAACATAGGGTAAATTAGGCACTCTTGCTACAGAGGTAATACATGATCAAAGCTAAGGGTATATACATACACATCAATGATCAATGTTACTGTATTTCCTTTAACCAAAATTTAAACATACAGGTGTAAATTTAGAGTACACTTGCATTAAAACAAAGGTTAGAGGGGGAAAGATATTCCTTTAGTAAGGCAGCATGATATGGCCAATCCTACAGCCAGTTTGTGTATAAACGTAACTTAGGAACATCCTTAAAGATTTGCTCTGAAGATTTGACTGATAATTACACTAAACACCTACCATGTACATCAGGATAAACACTCTGGCAATAGGATACCTCCGGAGGAATACTCCAAGTCTTATGCTGTAAAATAACAAGACGTTACCATCAGATTTATGGGAAGTTTTAGTTATTTTGGTCACACACATACACTTTTTTCCCAGTTACCGGTAAATGCATTCACTATGTACATGTAATAACTTATTATTTCTTGCCTGAATTTGTCAATGACATTAGCAGCCCTCTTCATTTTCTTTGTGACTTCATGATCTGTGGGTGTCTCCCTCATAAAGCCTGGGTACCTCTGTCGGACTGCTGTTTATAAACAAGACAGACAGAATGAAACACTTGTACCGTATTTAACAACCTACTGAAGAGACACATCATCAGAAAAATTCTGGTTCCTTTTCATTATATTAAAAGCAATTTCAGAATACAACCATTATATACAGCACACAACTCTATTAATTCAACCAAATGAGTTATTGATACTTCTTAACATAAAAGGAAGAGTTTTTTTTCCATTTCATTAAGTACAGGGTATTTAATAAAAATAGCAAATTACTTGATCAATTGGAAGAATTTCCCCCAAGTTTGTATTGAATCTCTGAAAGAAACTCAAGTCTACATGGAATGCCTACCTTCTTCGTCATCATGTACATTGACAACTGTGGTGTTTGTCCTCAATGAAGAGGACTGGATATCCTTGTATTGTTGCTAAAAAAAAAATTATAAAAAATAAAGTATAGGAGCAATATTAATGTACTACCATTTAGGTTACCATACCTGAACCAGTAAGTTAGGTATTCTCTAGAAATCAATTGAAAACGCACACAATATTTTTGCTCTACAGTTAAGTTTGAACAACTTCTTTGCAAATATAAGAGACAGTGGCCTCTTTAACTTAGATCTCAACACTCATAACACATTACATACATGTACTAGTTCAATTTATCTATAAAATGCAGACAAATATTTTTTTTTTAGACTTTTATTTTATTTTAAAATAGACTTTTATTTCATTCTTTCTTAATTAGAGCTTCTTGATTATTCAATTAAGAGGCCGTGTCAGTAACCATTGAGTATTGTATATAAAGTGAGTGGAATGTGGAAAAAAATATTTTGCTTTAATATTTGGGTGCATGGAAGTATAGTTGAATGTCCTTTCAAACATGAGTTATTTGGGTCACATCTTCCTTGTTACCATAGCAACGGTGATTTTAATGCCTGAAAAGTGTGAAATTTGATTATTGATAACCCTGTCAAAATTAATTACAGAATCAAACTATGTTTTTCTTAATTTCAATATAAATGGGAGATTTAATTTTTCCCATGTTTATTTTAAAGCATTGGGGCCTACTTTGCTTTGTTTCTACCAAATGCTGTAAAATCAACATGATTTTTATAAATATTTTACACGAAAACGCAACCAAACTCTATCATAATCATACATGCAATAGAAACTACGAGCTTTGAAGTTATAAATCCAATAATAAAAAATGGTAGTTGGGTACTCTATAGCAAATAATTTGATTTAGAATGAACCACAAATATGAAAACGCGTGAACGATTATCTCCCTTTTGTGGAACTCTCCTGCTGATAAAGAACAGAAAGTTGCTGTTGCAGCAGAAGTCGGAGAAGAAAAACACCATGTAAAGACGTATAAAGCAGGTCTTGTGCGGTTACAGAGGACATGACAGCATCAAGAGTTTGTAGGTGACTGAAAAGTACTATTTATAGTCCGAAATATCTGACGTTTTCCTGGCTTTTTAACTATTTCTATATTTTACGTGCGAGGAAAACGCCATAACCGGCGCCTTTACGAAAACTTGGAATTCCAAGCAAAGGCGGCATTCTCGGGTGTATTTTCGATACTTGCAATTACTTGTCAAACTCACAATTTATCAATAGTACAATGCCTCTAGTACTTACCAATATAGTTTTTATGGTTTGTTTGCAAATATATGATCCATGATCCGATGGAAACATTTTCTCTGACTGTCGAGATTTGTTTTCATTTCGTGCGTTTACAAATTAAAAAAAATATACAAGTCCTGTATCGAAATGATGAGTGATTATTTTCTTTTCATTGTTATTGTCAAGTACTAAAAGCATTGTGCCATTGATAAATTGTAACAACGGCATTTAATGCGGTTCCCAGGTATGGGAAATCAACTCTGACTGGAAATGGCGAAATTTCCAGTTTTCGTAATGGCGCTGGTTCTGACGTTTTCCTGGCACAGAAAATATTGAAAAAAAAAAAAAAAACTGAAAAATGCCAGATATTTCAGACTTTATTATTTAGAGCATATTCATCAATCACTGATAAGGTCAAATTGGTAGATTTCCAATCGTGTATGTCTGCATATTAGTGTTCTTTTGATAAGTAATATTTCAAACAATATTTCATAAAAAATTCATAGCCATACCCGCTATACCTCATTATCTCAGGTCTATCAATATATATTTTTTTGGAGAGCTACAGTTCTGCAGCTACACTAAAACAAGATGACAAAACTTGAGGTTGCTAATATTGATTTGAAAAGGGGAAGGGAAACAAGGATAACAGACTCAACTCTGGTTTCAAAATTTGCTCCTGACCCTTAAAGTGGAGGGGAGGGGAACCAGGATTTATGAATTTTAACTACAGGAAATTTTGACTTCCCAAAAAAGTAAGGCGTGGGTGGGGTGCTATTCCTCCTAAGCCCTTGATCAGGTTGGGCACAATTTCTGAATACGATAATTCTGAAAATGTGAGACTAAATTGGAGTATCCCCTTTGTCCAGTTTAATGTCTTATATCATATCCCAGTCACTATATGCTATAGGCTCAAGTAAGTTTGTAAACAGGTCTAAAATATTTTCAGGAGAATCATGATGATAATCAGTTGCAATGTGAACTAACAAATAACCATGAAGTACAAGCAGATCCAATTAATGTGGAACAAATAAAGGTTTGTATTGAAATTTTTACATGTACTGAATTATTATGCCCAAAGAGCATGAACATATTTTTGTTTGTCCTTTCTGTCTATCTGTTGTCAGCTTTAACCTTTACCATGACTTTTGAACTGTGAGATCATATTTTGTATACATAATCCACTAATTAAGTTTTTTTAAATTACACCAACGTTAGTAACCTTTAGATCTTGATCTTTTTGCTAAAACTAGCTTTTCTATATTTGTTGACGCTGGGGGCATACTGTTTCACAAACTTATCTTGCTTTATATTACTTTTAGCATCAGCTTGTTTATTATAAAGAATCAGCAACTATATGCAGTAGGGTCATGTAAATTTGTAAACAGATATGAAATACTTTCAGGAGAATCATGATGATGATGAGTTGCTATGTGAACTACCAAATAACCATGAAGTACAACCAGATTCAAAGCATATGGAACAAATAGAGGTTTGTACTGAATTTTTTTTACATGTACTGAATTGTTTAGAACTACTTTGACCATCAGCTTGTTCATAAGAGCCCAGCCTCAAAGAGTACCAGTAATCACTTTGTTCATCCATTTCTTTGTCGAGAGATAACTCAAATGCTATATGTCCTGGAAACTTCAAACTTGAAAGGATTGTGACTCAATAACTTAAATCCATTTGACCTATGAACTTCATATTTTAAACCCAGACAAGAAGCATAAAATGGGCCCATATTGCTCACCCTGTCTTCTGTCAAAGGTTGTTAAAGACTGATATCATGAGGCACATTTGTGTCATGTAAGCTGTGCTTTTGAGGCAGGTATGAAATGCATTTCAGATAAGACAATTTCATTGAAGTCTACTGTGACCTTAGCATTGAAGTTTGACATTGAGTTAGGGTCATGCACACCACCTTATCATTAGGAGCATTGTATGCCAAGTATGAAGCTGTTCCATGAGGCATATAGAAATACAGACCTGAAAACTCCATCAAATTTTACCTTGACCTTGACATTGAAGGTGTGACTTTGGTTCAGGGCTGTGAAACACTGTCTCAGCATGAGTAACATTTGTGTCAAAATGAACTTGTTTTAAATGAAGTTGTTAGTTGGATTGATTTTGTATCTTTCTTTTGTAGGTGGATTCAACTTCAGACGACAACTTTTCCAAACATCTTGTGAAAGTCATCTGAATGCCAGGATTCTCAAGAGCATGAAGATAGTCCATTACATAGAAGGAAGACCTTGATTATGTATCTTGATGCCATTGGTGAAAAGGCAGAGGTCTAACACTGAAGTGAAGAAAATGACTTGACAGCTGAAGGGAACATGAACAATTTGAATCAGATTTCTGATATGGCTCTTAAAGCAGTGAACTAAAAACATTTTCTTACTAAGTTTAAGATTTTGATATCAAAGTTTTTGGAAGGGGGATATAGGAATCACCCTGTTTGTTTGTCCATCTGTCTGTGGACAACACTTGGATTATACTGCTCTAGCTCTAGTTGGTTAAAATAGATAATATCTAAAATCAAATGTGTCATACTTCTTGTTTACTGTGCATAAATGTACTTTGAAGAATATACTGTATAAGTAGAATTTTTAGCAAGGATTTCATTTTGGCATTATTAGAGAGGGTGCTGATATCGCTAAAATTGAATATTGCTAAAATTTAATGTCTTATTATTTGTAATAGCTTCTTTAATAAACATTTTAAAATCGCTAAAATTACTTCTGGCTAAAAATAAAATACCAGACTTTGGTAGAAATCGCTAAATTTGCATCTCGCTAAAATTTCCACTTATACGATATATTATTATTTCTAGCAAAATATTTCTGAAAAATATTTGACTGTACACTTCAGAAAAAATTCAGTCTCAGAATCAGGTACAAGATATGCTGTAATGGTGCCTAGTTGTGTCGCCTGCGTAGCAAGGGGACTCTTAGGGATCACTTCTCCATTGTTTGTCAGTCTGACTAGCTGACCATCAGTCTATCTGTCTGTCACAATTTGATATGTCATTCCTGAGACACACATTTTCAATGGAAAACTCTTGTTTTACGTTCATATCTGTGATACTTTTAGTGAGCATTGATATTTGACCAGTTGATTGGTCTTTGATAGTAAAATAATAAAAACTTGAAATATAAAATTGCTGTAAACTACATTTTCACAAGCCTTGCTGATGTTAAGGTTTATTTTCATTTGAATAAGTATAAGGTCGTCTTGTGTTTAACAGACACGACTTCTCATTATACCCCCTGTAAACGAAGTTTGGGGGGGTGTATATAGGAATCAGCTTGTCTGTCTGTCTGTCTATCCGTCCGTCCATCTGTCTAGCTGTGCAAACATGTACGGTCCATATCTTTCTTACGGAGGAACATTAGAATCTACTACTCAATACAAAGATTGCTCATGACCTAAGAGTGTGTCATGACCTTGACTCAAGGTCATTTGGGGAAGTTCAAGGTCACTGGAAGAAAAATTTCATTATTTGTGTCCATTCCATATCTTTCTTATGGATTAACTTGGTAAGTTCCCATTTTACAAAAAGATTCCTCATGACCTAAGGGTGTGTCATGACCTTGACCCAAGGTCATCTGTGCATGTTCAAGGTCACTAAAAGAAAAATTGTAAAATTCATGTTTGGTACATATCTTTATTTTGGATAAACTTGAATCTACTACTTCGCACAAAGAGGGTTTATGACCTTCAGCAAAGGTTATTTAAGTTCAAGGGCACTGAAAGGAAAATTTCTTAATATGTGCATGGTCCATATATTGCTTAT